TGGTGCGATCCAGCAATTGAACTCCTCAATATTTATCCAGTTTATTTGAAATCTTACATCTACACACATACACATATTCACACACACACACAGATACACAAATAGCACACAAATATTTATAGCAGCTTTATTTATAATAGTCAAACACTGAAAGTAACTAGGATGTCCTTCAATAGGTGAAAGGATAGGCAAACTGGTAAATTCATACAATGGAATAGTCTTCATCCGAAAAAAAAAAAAAGAATAAGCCATCAAGCCATATAAAGACATGGATGAATCTTAAATACATATTGCTAAGTGAAAGAAACCAGTCTGAAAAGGCAACATAAGTGTGATTACCTCCCCCATTTTTTTTTTGACGTTCTGGAAAATGCTGAAAAAAATTCTGGAAAGCTAAAATTATAGAGATGGTAAACAAATGAGTGGCTGCCAGAGGTGTGAGAAGGGGAGAGCTTTGAGTAGGTGAAGAACAGGGGATTTTTCAGGGTGGTGAAACTATTCTGTATGATACAATAATGTTGGATACATGCCACTGTGCATTTGTGAAAACCCTTAGAACTTTACAGCACTAAGAGTAAACCTCTTAGTGCTAACTATGCAAATTTTAATCATTGTGGAGATTAAGGGGTCCTAGGATGGAATGTAGAACATAACAAGCGAACCTAACTGGATTATAAATGTATGAAACAACCTCCCTGAGAAGGGTGAGGGGAAAAGGTGCTGGCCTAAGTAACTTTGGAAATGAGGGAGCCTGAAAGACTAAAGACAAAAGGAACTGTATATAAGCACTGTACTCTGATCAGGTTGTTTCCCAAGGGCGGATGGGTAACAATTCTGGAGCCATTATGCATGAACACTGGAATTGAACGATTAAGGAAATGGGTGGCAGATGGTGGGACCCAGGTTTCTCTCACCTGTTGGAGTGGGAAGTTGTAGACAAGCAAGAGGAGGCTAGAGTGATCCATATGGTAATGGATTGGAGGTGGAGACATTAGTAGGAAGTCATATTTAGCTTAATATAGATACAGATGGTTACATATAGAAATATTTATAGGTATGTATATATACAAGAGTTAGGGTACACACACACACACACTTCCTTGCTCTGCATCTGAGAGGACCTAGAAACAGTGATACCTAAGTAGCACGAGCACACGTAGCTCCCAGATCTTGGTTTCTAATACCATTATCTAATAAAAGGAACCAGGGGGCACTTCCCTGCTGGGCCAGTGGGTAAGACTCTGTGCTCCCAATGCAGGGGGCCCGGGTTCGATCCCTGGTTGGATGCCTGGTCGGGGAACTAGATCCCACATGCATGCCACAGCTAAGAAGTCCGCATGCTGCAACGAAGATCCCACATGCTGCAACTAAGACCCAGCCGGCGCAGCCAAAATAAATAAGTAAATAAATAAAATAAAATATTTTTTAAAAAAGGAACCAAGGCTCCTTGGAGAAGTGGCTGGTTTCGGACTGGGACAAGAAATGTACAGGATGAGGCGGTAGCATCTTGTAGTTCCAGAAAGTAAGGAGGTGCCCATACAAACCAACCAAACAATGCTGGGGGCATGTCGAAGCCAGCCCTCAGTGGCCAAAGCTGGAACAATTTGAGTAAGGAAATAAATAACATAGTATTGGATCAAAACCCCAAAGTATCCATGAGTCCATTCTGATGTAAACAAATGATGGAATAAATAAATGGGGGAGACTAGACAAACCTCCTATGCAGAAGAATTCCAAATAATCTATGTAGATATTTTGCCCTCAAGAAGGTGGAGCACAACTGCCTCCTTCCTTCCATAGCGACTTCCTTCCAGAGTTTGAGGTGATAGTATTATTTATGCAACCAGTTCCCTATTGATGGGCATATTCTTTTGCTTTATAAACAGTGCTTCAGTGAACCTTTGTATGTATATCACTCTACATTTCTGTATTTTTGTAAGATAAATATTCCAGGGAGAATATAACTTTTAACAGCTTGAAAGATGTATTCAAGTGGTTCTTCAAAATGGTCCTGTGAATTTATACCCCTGCAAACAGTGTATGAGTATCAGTTTCTCCACACTCTTGGCACACTGTATGACTCACAAAGGGGTAATGTATTCTCTTTAATATAAACCCCTTTTAGTAATCAAGAGTCAGAGGACAGGTGTCCCAATAGAAAGGTGGATGAAGGACCTGAACACGTAATTCACAGGCAAATAATACAAATGGCCTATAAATATTTGCAACAAAAAACTGAAAAAGCGTGCAAAAATATGTTAACTGAGGAGTCATGAAAGAAATGTAAAATAGAAACAGTGAGACATTAGTTTGTCCACTAAGTTAGTAAAGAAAAAAAGAGCTGTAATGACTGGTATTAGCCTGCTCCAATTTTTATGGATCAACAAATAAAACTTTTGGAAGCCAAGTTTTTAAATATATACTTTTGAAAAAAGGTACACATACTTTTATTCACTCTACCTTACAGGAATTTATCCTCAGACCTTAATTAAAAATGTATAAAGATATATGTATAAATATGTTCACCACAGCATTGTCTATCACAACAAAATAATTCGAAATAAGCTACCCAACAGTAGGAGGTTCCTTAATGATGAGACATCCCTAAGATGAAATGCTTGGCAGCTGCTAAAAAATATGTTGATATTCTTATATATTTATAAAAATTCTTGTGATAGTATGATTAATATATACCAATTTAATTGAAAAAGAGAAACATGTTCTATGACTAGACAGACATATGTTCTGAGACATGACAAACATATGTTCCAAGAAGGACACATACCACAGTGTTTATCAGGGGGTCTGTATGTGAGAACGAGCTTGCAAATGACTTCTGTCTCTTGTGCTTATCTCTGTCCCTTTGTCTTCTACATTAAGCTTCTCTTAAATTTTGTAGTTAAAAAACAATTAAAACAGTTTAAAACCACGCTGATTCTCCCTTTGTAATGTCTCTCTCCTCTGCCCCTTTCCTCCATCTCCTTCAACACTGCCCTCGCTCAGGCCTCCCGTCTCTCACTTAGACCATCGCCTCAGCTTCTTGATGGGTGTCCCTGCTCCTGCAGAAGGGTCTAGCCTGTCACTCCTGTGCTCAGAAGCCTCTGGAACTCTCCTTGCGCAGCATAGTGTCCCATTGTTTCTCCAGACCCCCTTCCCTTCTAAGTTCAGCCTCCCTCCCGCCCCAACCCCACGGGGCACCTGCAACACCAGTCCTGTCCACCCGCTCAGCTCTCCCTGGTCTCCTCACCTGTTGAGGGTCTACCCATCTTTCAAGGCCCACCTCCTCTAGGAAGCCTTCTTTTCTCATTATCTCCCCCATACTCCAGTTCACTTGGTTTGAACTTGTTTGATGGCCATGATCACCAGCTGCCTTTTAATACAGTGATTTCTGGACTGACAGGTCTGGACTCGCAGTGCCTGGAGCACACAGTAAGGGCTTCGTGAAAGTCTGCTGAAGTGAACTGATCCAGAGTTGCCTCTGAACACCACCTGAGTCAACTCTGCCACGTTCCGTAATTATGCTTTAAATAGGTGTGATTTTTTTTTTGACACATAAGAATCTATTAAATTATACATATAAACTATCACACTTGAGATTTATGTGGCATAAAAGTGTGCATGTATTAAAATATAAGGTTTATGGGCATATCACCTAGAAAAAATCTTGCTATATGGAAAATCTTTCTTCCATAACTGGCTAGTAACATTTGAGTCTGAACTTAATTTTAGGCAATTCCTTGGAAAAAATGATTCTATGGAAACCCAGGCACGTCCTGGAGGCAACCACAGATAATTACACAGAGAAAACTTTTCTATAATATTCCTGCTTAATATAAGAAGCCAAATTTTGATACTTGGTGATTTAATTTTTTCTTGTTTTCTCATTGAAAAGTGACAGTATTTCAGTAAAGGGAAGACATTTGGTTGCAGCAGTAAACATGCTTTGATAACTCTGGACTATCCTTAACTCTTTTAGTCTTTGTAAAATTTAGAGGTTTTAGATGCTTAGCCTTCCTTTTCATTCCACGTCTCCCCCATTCTCTGCCCATCTCTCCTCCTTTCTTTGCGGTGCTGTCATTGCACTCTTGGGCATCTGTGTTTCACATAGAGCTGTTGTTATAGTCATGAAACATAAACAGGAAAGCAAACCACTGCCCAGTGTTTCTTAGCATGAAGCTCCTCTTATTTCATTGAGGCATCGTGTGAGTCAACTAGACACTGATGGATGACTTTCTTGTTCCCACCAAAGGACTCAGGGGCTCGAGGATGGTCAAGTGTGAATGATATTCTGAACGAAAAGTACCAGTATATCCTTTTGGCATATGCTGACTCCAGAAAAACATGCCCTTTTACCTGCATTGCTTTACAGAACTTTAAGAGATGTTTTTGTATCACTTAAATTATTGGGCAAATCTCTCCTAGAAAATGAAATTTGTTATAATTGTGCAAATATAGGTGAGTCCTTCTTGCCTTGGGTCTGGCTGGGGATATGGATCTCATAGGTGGTACTGCCAGCATGCATATCCCTTTGTCTGGCCATTTGTCCATCCGTCCATCCATCCATCCATCCATCCATCTCCCCATAACTGGGATCCTTCTGAGCAGAAATCCTGTCTGATACATCTCAAAATTTCCTGAAGTACCTTTAGGGAGACCCATATGTCGATGGAGGCCCAATAAGTCCCCTGGCTAATGATGGGAGTACTTATTTCTCACAGCACCACTATGCATGTTGGAGAGCTGGTGCTGACGGCATGGGACCCACTTGTAGGGTTGAGTGTCATAAAGGAACCCTCAACCTCCTGCAACCCTAGGGTTTGCTCTGTCAGTCTCCCAACCTCTTAGAAATCCCATAGAAGTAGCGGGCGGGGTAACTTGGTTGGTCCGGCATTTAACAACTGTTCTGGTGTGTGTGTGTGTGTGTGTGTCTGTGTGTGTGTGTGTCTGTGTGTCTGTGTGTCTGTGTGTCTGTGTGTCTGTGTCTGTGTTTGACTCTACAGGTCAGTTTTTGGGTTGTACGAGAAATTCTAACAGCACAGACTTTAAAAATAAGGGCAGAAATCCTGAGCCATTTTGTGAAAATAGCCAAGGTAAGCTGTTTTATTATTACTTTTCCCCTTCCTTTCCTTTCTTTTTTGTCGCAAAAAGGTGTTTCCTTGGTACTTTGGGTGCCCATTTGCTCTGGATGAGCCGGGCAGGGTTCAGACACGGGGCTCTGGCCCAGCTTCCCCAGGCAGAGGCAGCTGTGGGACCAGCCTGGCTGCTTGCTGGGCCTCCCAGCCCCTGTGCATGCACAGGCAGGTGCCCTCCGCCCTGTGGTTTTGGCAGCCAACCATTCTTTGTAGCTGGCCTTTCACAGACTCTCCACGAGGCCCCAGTGGCTACCTCTGGGATCCGTTCACCCTCCTATTCAGATTTAGCCAGTGCCGGGGGTTGATGGCTTTTAGTCAGCGTCGGAGGTTGTGACACCATCACATCCTGCACAGTTTATTCGCGGTCAGCAGAGCTCACCCCACCCCATCTTGCACTTGAGGCCCGGGCCCTGCTGCCCCAACCCCACCCCCTGGGTCTGCCCTGGTAGGGTTGGTCCTTGCCGGTTATTGGGCACCAGGCTCATGTCTTTACCCCACTTGCCCCTCCTCTTCCCTCATCTCTGCCAGCCCAGGCTGTGATCCCACGGGCCTTCCTGGACCACTCTCATCTCTTACACAGTCCTGCCAGCCCCTCCCAGCCCACTGCTCCCCACCACGGGGCTCACCTGACTCAGCGGAGCACCGCCCTGTCTGTTTACTGCCCGCTTTGTGTGTGCGCGTTGTCTTCCCACCCAGGTCCTAGGCCAGCTCACCTTCACTGCGGCCCCTCTCTGGCCAGGTGCCATAGCTGCTGCTTTACAGAAATGATTTCATTTGAAGCTGACATTATTATTATCCCATTTCCGGAGGAGGAAGGGGAGGCTTAGAGAGGTGGGTGTCCACGCCCAGGCCCCATGGTCAGTCGGAGCGTGTCTCTCTGCCTTCAGGAGAGCTGCTCTGCTGCCCCTCACAGCAAGGTTGTGTTCATCCAGCTCTAAGTATGTTAGGGGCATGGACACTTTTACGTCCTGTGCATTCTGAAGTGCCTGGAACTGTTGCTGAGCGTAATGATACTTGTTGCTCTCGGTGAGTTCGTGCTGGGCCACGAGAGAAAGTGGGATGAAGTTCCAGCCCATCTGGTGCTTTCAGTTTGGAAGTTTCCAGTCCCTACCCAAGGGATCCAAAACGATTCCTCCTTAAGCTCTGCCATCTTCCGATGGTGGATCATAACGCTGGCGCTGTGCCCTGGGTATGTTCTTGTTCGAGCCTCCTCCTTTCTCTGGGCCTTGGTTTCCCATCTATAAAATGGGAAAGGGGTGGATTAGATAATCTCCCAGAGAACCTTCACCTCTAAAAGAAATTCTGTGACAGGCATAGCCATTCAGATACAAAGGATGAAATTCAGCTCACTCAGAATCTATTATTACACACAGCAGACGATTAGGGAATATTACGAGATGTATGAAATGCAGTATTAACTTGTGTGGTAAGGGAGAAATCTCCAGGTAGGAACAGAGCCGTGAGGACTAGGCATAAGGGCTTTTCGTGGATTTGTTCATTTTACTAAGCCCTGCTCTGTGCTGTACTAGGTCCTAGGGATATGATGGTAGATACCGCTTCATCCCGGCTCTCAGGGAACACACAGTCCAGGGTGAGAGAGGGGCAAGTGCAAGCAAATACAGTCCAGTGGGCTGAGGAAATGCACAGGCTTCCGTGGGAACATGCAGGTGGGGTGGGGTTGGGGACAAGTCTTCCTGACAAAGAACAAGCAGCCCACGCCACACTGCCCGCTCTCCTGGGTGCCAGGCACTGGTCTAGCAGTTTACGTGCACCATCGCACGCAGCAGAGGTGCTGTGATTACCTTCCTCATTTTAAATATGAAGATGTCGAGGCTCAGAAGGCTTAGGTAACTTGCCACAGGACACACCAGTAGTGGGAACCCGGGTTAGAACCGGGCCTCTTGGTTCCGTGGAGCCTGCCGGCTACACAACTTTCACCGACTCCTGGGAGTGAGAAGTGGGACCCGGGTCCTGTTGGCAGGTTTCCCTTCAGCATAAAACCAAGAGCAGAGCAATTACAGTTTTCTGCGCTCACCCTCACCTGTGTCTGCTTCTGTCGCCCTCTGTGGTAAGGAACTTGTCTGAGATGGAATTAAATCCAAATGTTCTCACTAATTTGGGGCCTGGTTCAGAGAAGCATGGTCAAGTGGCTGGGAAGCTGGAGCTTCGTGCTCCCAGCTGAGGAGATCGTGCAGATTGATAACATCTTTCCCCAGCCTCCCGCTTCCGGGTGTGAAGGTAATCGCAGTAGACCCATGTTGATGTTGTTGGCACAGCGGAGGTTTCAGTTTACAAAGGCCTGCTGGGACAGTTCAGATTCATCTAAAAAAAGAACAGAAAGGACATTATCAAACCTCATCCCGAGCCATGTTTCTGTCCAGCAGCCAGACTAGTCAGCTTATGGAATTTTGCAAATGTTTTAGATGCAGACTCACCTTTTGACAATCTGAAAGAAAAAGAGCATATGGTTTCTGTGAACTTCCTAGAACTGTATTTTCTACATGAGATATTTTTAAATGTAATTGAATTTCATAAATATGACAGTATTTGGTAACACTTGAACATGTTTTTGTTCTATTGTTTATAGCAGCAAAATAATCTATTCCGTATCTTTTTTTCTTTTCAGAAACTTCTAGAACTCAACAACCTTCATTCTCTCATGTCTGTGGTGTCAGCATTACAAAGTGCACCCATCTTCAGGCTGACAAAAACCTGGGCTGTAAGTTAATCTTCCTAAGTCTGTTCCTTTGGTTTGGGCCGTCCTTTCTTTGGTGAAGTTCTCCATTCCTTAAGCCCCAGAAGGCTTTCTCAGTCTGCCCTTTGCCAACGACGGAGGATGACTGTGGGTTAATGAAGTGTCCCCTGGCCACTCTCTCTCCTTCAGTGACCTCAGCCTCGTTTTGGGACAGGGAAGCTGTGAGGAAGCCAGCGTGGCCGGGGACCCTTCTGGACCTGACAACATCATGTATGATGGCGGGGTCAGTGGCATGACTTCTGCCCTCCGCTTCAAACTGCCCCTGGGAAGCCTTGCAGTTGCGCTGGGCTGCTGGCTGTGCAGCTAAGAGTTTCTTTGGAGGAACCTGTGACCCTCATGTAGGGAAAAATAATTTTTTTTTCCTGAAGGCCATGGATAATTTCAGCTCAGAGGTGGAGCCTGATAGTTATATAATTGAGTCTGTAGGAAAGTTTTTCTGCTGTAAAAATACTTTAAAAATATCTCAGACCTCTTTATCCTCCTTAGCTTGGCACCGCGCCTGACGGGGGAAGTCATTGCTATTTCCATCACTCATTAGCATTCACCTCCTGGCCCGCCTGGTCTGGGGTCTCTCACAGCCACACAGCCCAAGCCTTTCAAGACCTGTTTATGTCCCACAGAACTGAAGGAAACTGTATGGAGTTGTCAGCTGTGCTTCTGCAACTAACTCACTTCCGAACTTCTTTCTGCCAGTCTGCGGGGCTGGGCTCTGTTTCAGACTTGGCTAGTTCAGGGGCCTTTAAAATACTTAGGGATTATGTTGTAAGTTGTCAGAAGTGAGCCTTGTTTCTTTAAATTGCAATTTTCCATAGATCAAGCCATAGCAAAGTGGAGTGAGAGGTTTTAGCCTGGAGTCAAAAGACTGGGTCTGCATTCAGGCACCGTCTGTGCAGAGTGATTCTGTGGGACTTGTCTCCTCTTATCTACTTAGGGAGGTTGGCCTGGATCTGTGGTTCTCCGTTAGTGCTTTGTGGAGCCCAGGGGTTCTTTGGAACTGACTTGGGGCCAGCAGGGGCTGGGGGAGAGGACGGAGGGCACCAAGCAGACCTCCAGAGCACGGTTTCTGCCAGAGCAGCTCTGTTTGCATCAGTTTTATGTCCTGAGCTTCTGGGTGAACTTCAGTTGAGCAGTGGCTTTGGAGGTCAAAGCAAGTTTGGAAGCCACTGGTCTCTGTGGTTGCTGCCAGCCCTGTGATTCCCTGAGTCCATCTGAGCCATGACGCTTTTTTCAAAAGTTGCTTGGAGATTCTTTTTCAAATGAATTTTCCATCATTTAGGTGCTGCTATTGTTTCTTGGACTGCTGGGAGCTCTGTGTGGGCCCAGAAGAAGGAATGATGAATCTCACGGTACACAGACCTTACTGTCAGTAACACAGGGACTCTCAGTGACCCCATAAGTGGCACAGTCAGTGAGGGCAGCAGGGAGTCAGCATGAGGGGCCTGCACAGAGATGCCACCCACTCAGGGATGGGCAGGGCCCATCCATAGAGCTTTGGCCAGCGTTCTCCTCAGGATGCTGTGCCTTGCCCAGGATGGTGGGGCAGCATTGGGCCAGAACAACATCCGGGACTGCTCCATGTGGCTCGGCAGAGTCCTGTGCCAGGGTGGCCGGATCATCACTGCCATTGGTGGGTCTTTGCTGCAATGAAGATAAATCTCCCACAGCTCCTCAGAGAGCCTGGAATGAAATATCCACCCAGGACCCGTTTGAAAGCATGAGCTTCCTCACCTAACTCCCTTCCAGGCTACGTGGGTCAGCTGTTGTTCCTTACAGATTTGCCAGGCGCTGTTCTAAAATCTTTCCCTGTATTAACTCATTTCCTCTTTTTTTTAAAAAAAATTTATTTATTTATTTATTTACTTATCTATTTGGTTGTGCCAGGTCTTAGTCACGGGGGCGGGCTCCTTAGTTGCAGCTCGCCAGCTCCTTAGTTGTGGCACATGAACTCTTAGTTGCAGCATGCCTGTGGGATCTAGTTCCCTGAGCAGGGATCACATCTGAGCCCCCTGCATTGGGAGTGCAAAGTCTGAACCACTGCGCCACCCGGGAAGTCCCCTCATTTCCTCTTGACAGCTACCCACCGTCAAGAGGAGGCACAGAGAGGTGGGATGACTTATGCAGGGTTCCCCAGCTAAGAGGCAGAGCGGGAATCAAACCGGAGCAGTCTGGCTCCGGAGTCCCTGCGCTTACCCACCACACCCCACGGAGCTCAACAAGGACAGTTCCAGTGATGCCTTGTCAGTCAAAACAAGAGAGCGGGCCTGTTTATTGTTTTGTCTCCTCTATACACAGTGCTCTAACAGGAACTTTAAGGGTGACATCAGCAGACTCTGGGTGCTGCCCAGGCCATTGAGCCTCTGTTCTGGCTGTGGCTGCTGCTGGCCTGGCTGCTGGCCTCTGAAGTGCAGCCTTCTTTTGCCATTAATTTCTGGTAGTGAGCTTAGCCACAGAAATGTTGCCAGAAAAGAACTGTTTTCCCTCTCCCTGCTTGTCCCTTGATCTGGGGAAGGGAAGTCAGAGGAGGGCCCCAGGGAGGGGACACACAGCCAGAGAGCCAGAGAGCTGCGGCCAGGCCTTGAAGGCTGCCTTTTGGCCACTTACTCCTTGGTTAGTCCATGGCTTCCGCTGCTCTGCTGGTCCCCTGGGATTGGCCGCTGACTGTGGCATCTAGCTGGTGGGAGCCAGGGAGAGGACAGGAAGCTGCGGTTACGCGTCACCAAAGGACGGGGGACCCAGGGCAACAACAACTGTTCTTTTTCTGAGAAATCTCCCATTGCCTCCTAAGGGCTGAGAGCCAGGACTATTTCCTTGGTTACAGAGGGCCACTTAGCAAGGCAAAAGGTGGGGAGATGCAGCATCCTGGGAGATAAGAATGGCAACTGCCAAAGGCTGTGTCAGGGAGAGAGGAGGTGATACACACTGTGTGGATTCAGCATGACGTCTCCGAGGTCGTGTGTGGGGAGCTGTTTGTTCTGGGTAAACCCACCATTCAGCCTGCTTCAGACCAGACTCTCCCCTTTCGCCCACCTGTCCTGTTAGTCCAAGGACAGTGGTTGGTGCAGAGCACTTGGGAAATGGTGGGGGCCAAACTCGCCATCTTTCTCCTTCATCCAAATCCCCCCAGCCCAGTAGAATCGATGATGCCACTATATTCCTAACACTCTCTCTACACCTGTTGTGACAGAGCACAGAGGGCATCTACTCTGCAGTTTTGTTTACAGGTCTGCCTCCCTCTTTGATCACCTTCCTTCTTGGTGCAGTCTGATTTTTTCTCCATATCCCAAACGACTGAGTTTACACTGGTCGTTTGAATTGTATATGTTTGTTGTGCCGTATTGTGTCCTTTTGCTACTTCTTTTCCCAGTAATGAGATTAGCCACTGAAACGCTGCCAAAAAATTGCTGCTTCCTCTCCCCCGACTTGCCCCTTGATCTGGGACTGGTGAAATCTCATGACCCTGCAGAGCAGGGAGAAGCAGGTCCACCAGCCGTAGCAGCCCCAAAGGTCAGAACTTTAATAGTCTTCGTTTTGCAGGGAAGGAAACTGAGGTTCCAGGAGTTGTAGTGACCTGTCTCAGATCATGGAGCTGATGAGTGCCAGAGCCGATGTGATGTAGCTTTGCCTTGATGGACACGTAGTCCATGTTCTTGGCCATTTGCTTGATGACTTGTCTATGATGGAACCTGATGTTGGAATCAGGCTGGGCACAGGGCAGGGAAAAGCAGGCACACACACTGCTTGGGAAGTGGGGCTGGAGAAGTGAGGCTGGCACACAGGCCCCTGGGGACAGTGTATGACCAGCTCCCTGAGTGCAGTCGCTGGGGTTGCATTGAAACCCTGGATATCTGGGAAACCTGGATGGAAGGGGGTCACAGGTGTGGGAAGAGACCTGCTGCGTGGTTTCACTATGGATGGCCTTCAGTGAGGGCCAGCTGGTCATTAGCTGGTAGGCAGGGCAGCCTGTCGGCCTGTCCATGGCTGGCTGCTGAGTACCAGCTGCTGGGTGAGCTGGGACAGGGCAGAGGCTGACCTCGCACATAGGCTCGCACATAGTAGGCCCATAATAAATGCTGGCTAGATGCACAAACAGGGAGGGAGTCACCTTCTGCTGGCCTGGAAAAATGCAGACAGGGTCTGATTTATCCCAACACTGGGCCCGCTTTGGAATATTGGCTGCCTCAAAGCCATGAGACCTAAGCAAGAAGTCCTATCGGCCAATTCTGATTTCCTGAGCACAGATACTGTGTGGCTCTTATTCATTCTGCAAATCAAATATTTATTGAACACCTCCTCACCTGCTCCATGCCAGACCCCGAGGCTATGGTCAAGGCCCTTGTTTTCATGGGCTTTTATGTTATCCAGGGGAGACAGACACGTTTTTGTGGGAGAATAAACATGTGCCTAGTCTGGCTGGTGCAAGAAGTGGTCAATAAATGTTTGTTGAATGCATGAAGTCATGAACCAAGGGCTGTCAGATAGGAATAAAAGTGATGCCGGAGACCAAAAGAGGAGTATGCGATAGGGACTGACTGGGTGTTCAGGGAAGGCCTGTCTGAGACCTGAGTGACAAGAGGGAGCCGGCCACGCCAAGATGAGGGCACAGCCAGTGCAGAGGCCACGGTGGAAGAAACTCCAAGGCCAGTGTGGCTGGAGCACAGCAGGCCTGGGGGAGATTGTGAGGGTGCTGTGGACGGGTGGCGGGGCCGTCTGGGAAGGGCTCAGCCCAGAGAGGAGTTAGGTTCTATTCCGAGGGCAGTGAAGGGTTTTAAACAGGAGACAGACATGATCTGCTTTAGAGTTGCTTTTGGTTTTTAATTAGTGTTGCTACTATGTGAATAGCAGAATGGGATTGCAGGGGGGCCGGAGTGGAAATGAGGCCAGGCTAGAGGGTTAGGGCAGAATCCAGGAGTGAGGTGATGCTGGCTAGCATCGGGGAGGTGGCAGTGGACATGGAGAGAAGGAGG